TCATTGGATGTAGGGATGGGGGTGGGGGTGGGGTGAAGGGTCAGGTGTTAGTTGTAACACTTTCTAAGGTGAATAATAAGACAATCTTGACTCTTGAGGAAGATGAGTTGTGGATATGTTGGATTTAGGGCATTAATAGGATACTCAGATGAGTGTGTATTTTTTATCTCCTCAGGAGACCTCCTCTGAAATTACTACCACTCCCCATTTGTGTGTTCCTATAACAGCTTATATTTCTCTTATCACAGCACTTATTTAAAACTTTCTTACGATTGCCAGTTTAATGGAAGTTCCATAAAGGCAGCATCCCTGTCTGTGTAATGCACCATCCATCTCCATCACGTAGGACAACAAACGTCAAATGAATGAATGAGTAAATGAAAAATCTTATTTAATCTTCATAACAGACCTGGAAAAAGAGAATTAGCCCTCACCAGCAATGAAGTTCAGATGTCTTTGTTTATGAAGGCCATCATTTTTCCACACACTTTGCCTCCTCCCTATTTAAAATGGGTATGGGTAAACTAAAACAATTTACAGAAGAATGGCCAAGATTTGAAAGAACACAACACAAGGAATGGCTGAATAAACCAGCCATGTTTGGCCTGAGGAAGAGATTGTGGGAGAAGTCCTAGATGGGTCAGTCCTGGGTGCCCAGCCAGGGTTAGATTCCAAGGACACACACATCAAAAATAAAGGGATTTTGTTGTACAGATGTTGCTGAAGGGAGGCCACCTGCCACATGTTGGAAACCACAAAGACAGGTTTTTGTTTCTTTTTTTCTAATATTCTTTTTTTTTCCTTTTTTTACTGCAGTAACATTGGTTTATAACATTGTATAAATTTCAGGTGTACATCATTATACTTCTATTTCTGCATAGATTACATCATGTTCTCATGTTCACCACACAAATACTAATTACAATCCATCACCACACACATGTGCCTAATCATCCCTTTCATCCTCCCCCACCGCCCCCCTTCCCCTCTGGTAACCACCAATCCAATCTCTTTCTCTATGTGTTTGTTTGTTGTTGCTGTTATCTACTACTTATGAGTGAGATCATATGGTATTTGACCTTCTCCCTCTGACTTATTTCACTTAGCATAATACCCTCAGTGTCCATCCATGTTGTCACAAATGGCTGGATTTCATCGTTTCTTATGGCTGAATAGTATTCCATTGTGTATATATACCACGTCTTCTTCATCCATTCATCCCTTGACGGGCACTTAGGTTGCTTCCAAGTCATGGCTACTGTGAATAATGCTGCAATGAACACAGAGCTGCATGTATCTTTACACATTGGTGTTTTCATATTCTTTGGATAAACACCCAGCAGTGGAATAGCTGGATCATATGGTAGTTCTATCCTTAATTTTTTGAGGAATCTCCATACTGTTTTCCATAGTGGACAAAGACAGGTTTTGATCTCAGCGTAAAGAAAAGTTTCCTATCAGTCAAAGTTGTCCAAAAATAGAGTTGCCTGAGAGGTAGTGAGTTCCTCGTCACTGGACTTTTTCAACTATAGGCCAGCTACAGATAGGCAGCAAGATGGTAAAGGACGTTTAAGTGTTGGAAATGCAGGTGGATTAGATGGCTTTTGAGTTCCCTCCAATGCTGATGTTATATGATTCAATTCTCAATAAGGGGAAGTCAAAAGGATCTCCAGTACTTAAACAAGGGAAGAAATTTCCTACCAGGAATGTAAATTTTCTTACCCACGTAGGAGGAATATCACAGCAGAAAATGGGCCTACAGGTTGGATAATCCTGCCCATTATCTTCATCCTGTTTCCACTGCTTTATTTTCTTACAATTTAAAATCTTATTTTGGCTTCCCATGTAGATTTTGTTGCAGGATGGAAAATGTTCTGACTAGCTAGCTAGATTGTTCTAGTTCACTTAGCAGTTAGACTTCTCGGGGAAATTAATGAATACAGCACTCAAGTTAATCAGTGTTTTCTGAGTTTGCTTATTGCAGATCAATCCGTCTCAGCCTAATCATGCTGGAACGCATAATAAATTTGTGCTTCTGGTCTGAAGAATTGAGAACCAAACTCTGAATTTTGGTAATCCACCAGTGTGCCTCCCCCTACTTAAAGTAGATACCTCAATGCCGCATACACCAGACGACAAGCTGGTACCCTGTGTGTCTCCACTCCCTTTAGTTTATAATAATATCTATTAATAATGATAGCAGTGACAATGGAGAATGTAATGTAACAAAGAGAACTATTAAGAAATTAAGTTACTTTTAACTTGATTTTTATTATTTGCTGCTGTAGAAGCATCAGGAAGAAATAAAAAGTAACACCCCACCCCCACCCCCCATCCTGTCTCAAAGTTAGTCAAACATTCAGGTTCCTAGGGGTCAGGTTCTCTGAGCCTTCATGTGCTTCTCAATGAGCTATCAAGATGTTTTATGTGAGAAATGTGCATTTGGGCTCTTAATTTTGTGTATACGTTGAAAAGGGGGAACTGGGTGGATTTCCAAGGATTTGGGGAAAAGAAACAAGAATTTATTTTCCTTGGCGATAGAGAACTGAGCCTGCTCAGACCAGCCCTCTATGATGGCAGAACCTTGAAAGGAGTGGCTGCCGGGAAGCTGATACGGTGTGCTCACAAAGACCTGGAAGCCTGCAGGAGGAGCCCTGAATTTCTCCAGAGGAAATGGAGCTACTACGGAGCTGCCCTGCATGGAAGAATCCCTGGTTCAGAGCACTAGAGCTGGATAGGCAGACCTCCGAGTCGTCAGAGGAGGCATCAACCAGGACACCGGTACCCCTACAGCGGCACCGTGTGGTGATAAGGGGCAATAGCAGCAGAGACATCCAATCTGAGAGACACAGAGATGGGTAAACCTCCTGGAAAAAGTGTACAATCTAAAGAAGAGGAGGAGCCCTATAGTGACTGATAATAGACTTCCCACCAATCACGGCAGGTGGGGGCTTGGGCTCTTCTAACTGAATCCATGAAAATCGTTTTAAAAGTCACCGTTGAACTCTGGTCCCATTTTAAATCCCCAACGTCATCATCTAAAGTACTCCTCCCCGCCTCCCCAGTCATTATCTGTATCCTTTCTCTTTTCTTTTCTTCAGGTCCCATAACCAGAATGCCCTTCTAGTTCATATGTTTACTTGTTTTTATCTGGCTTACAAGCTCATTTGTTTATTGCCTGTCTCCCCCTACGAGAATCTGACTCCATGAAGGCAGGGATCTTGTCTTTCTTGTGTGCCACTGTATCCCCAGCTCTTAAAATGGTGCCTGGCAGACACTCGGAGTCCAGTAAATATTTGTTGAATGAATGGACGAATGAATTATATACCTGAAATTATGTTCCAGGCACTGTCCCAGGCACTTGTGTCATTTAATCCTCACGAGAGCTCGATAGGGGCGATCATTATTGCATTTTACAGATGAAGAAACGGGGAAGCCAAACTGTTAACCGCTGAGCTCTGCTGCCCCTCACCTTTCCTGTTTTCCATCCCACAATGTACCTTTTCTAAGAACACTTCCTTAAACAGCCCCCATGTTTCCTGCTTCAGGTTAGGTTTTGTCCCTTCCCTCTTTCCTCTCAAAATAACCTCTGTATAACTATCCTTGCATTTATATCATTCATTATGTATTTCTACCTCCCTAAACTCTGAGGCATCAGAAGGGATTGTCATCTTGGTGTTCATAAGACCTAGCATAGGGCCTGGAACACAGAAGGTACCAAAAAATATTTTTATACGACAATGACTGAATGAATGAGTGGATGACCATGCTCCCATCCCTAGGCAACCCCCCTCCACTTCTCACTTCTGTGACGCTCTTGCTTCAGGAGGGCCTACTGTGCACCAGTCATAGTATTTGGTATGGGAAATACAGAAACGAATAAAACTGTCCCTACTGCAAAGGAACCACAGTCTAGTGGAGGGGGAGGAGAGGGGAGAAATTGCAAACAATCACGATTAATGCACTGAGGTGTGCAGGTGGTAATTTGGGGGCAAGGAAGAAAAGCGTCTGGTCCAGAAACAGGGGTACCTTGCTGAGTTTTGCAGGACAGTAGAGATGAGAAAGAGAACACATAGTCCAGGGTGATTCAATAATAGAATGAGGGGAAGTGGCAAGAGGTGACACTACAAAAATGGGCAGGGACCAGATCACAAAGGGCCTTGAAAGTAACATTCAAGAGCTTGGACATTATTCTAAAGGTGATGGAGAGCCATTGGCCATTGAAGTATCTGGATCAGGAGGGTGATGTGATCAGATTGGCAGTTCAAATAATAATCCAGTGAAAGATAAGGCCTGAAATAGAGCAGTGGCCATGGGTATTTTAAAAAGTGGACAGATTGCAGAGGGCAAAGCAACAGGATAACTGTTTCCTTGCGGTAGGGGAGCGACAGAGAGGGAGGAGCCAATGAGGACTCCCAGGGGTCTGTGTGGATGATGGTGCCATTCATTGGTAAAGAAAACACAAGAGGGGGAGCAATTTTGAATGACACATAGGAAGTGCTCAATAAATAGCCATTGAATTGAAATTGAACTTAATTAAAAGGTAGAAGATAGATTGTTTCTTTTGGACACATTGAGTTTGAAGTACTTTTCAACTGCAGCTCAAGACAGTGGTCTGGGGTGTATGTGGCTGGTAGGAGAGACTTGGGAGTGAATGTCAACAGAGGAGTACCCAGAATGAGAAGAGGGCTGGGAACAGAATTCTGGAAAACTCAACTTTTAAGAGGTGTAGAGGAAGAAGAGACTACGAGGACAATCGCTAGTTGACATGTATTGAGCACCTACAGCAAGGGACTGTACTGGATGCTTCCCCATGAGGAAAGTGCTTAAGGAGCAAGTGGCCAGCAGGATATTTCTATGCGCCAGTGGAGCACAGCCCAGGATTCAGTGGAAACTGGAGAAATCAGGCAATGGTCTGTTTGGAATTGAAGCTACATTCCAGGTTCCACCGTCTGTCTTATTCCTTGCACAGCCTTCTCCCCCAACCTCTTTACATAGAATCTGGATTAGGTGACATTCCTTTTATTGATGGTGAGTGCAAACAGGTGTGCGTGAATGCTCTTTTAGAGGACACAAGGTGCTAGGCTGAAGGGGCCAGGAAGGGAGAGCCCAGAGCTGGGTTGTGGATGCAGGATTCACTCCTTATTTGGGCGTGAATGCTGCATTTTGAGAGGAAGATTTATTTTGGGACTAGGCTTAGGCACAAGGGACGCCGGCAGCACCAACCATCAGGCCGCACTCTCTATTTGGAGCACAGCTGCTTCAGCAGCCTCGGGTCTCCCGGGATCTTCCTCGGCGTCCTGCGGAGGTTCTGGCTCCTGCTTGGACTCCAGTGCAGGCTGGGCTTCGGGCTGGCCACCAGCGCTCCGGCCAGGCCCAAGGCGAGGTGGCTTGACAGGCGTGGGCGTTGGCGCTGCAGGGCCTTTGCGGCCCGAAAGAGCCCTTCGCAGGCTCTGTACCTTCTGCAACCCGGTGCGCCGCAGACGCTGCGCCCTGGACTCCACCGGCTCCTCGTCGGAGCTCTCCCCAACTTCGGCCTCCAGCAGCTCTGGGCTGGGCTCGGACTGGTCCTCCGGTCCTAAGGGCTTCGGTGCCTTCTGGAAGGCGCTGGCTGGGATTTCAGCCTCTTCCTGCATGTGATGGACACAGCACTGACCTGGGCAGCCCCCTACCCCGCACCAGCCTGCGCCTCATTCCTCAATTACACCAGGGGAACCCGCCCCACCCTTAGCCTCCGCAGCCTGAGTGGGAAAGAAAAGGCAGGCTCAGGAGAGTGGGGGGCGGGGGTGGAGCGAGGGAGGGAGAGCTAGGGGTGAACTGCAGAAGTTTGTAAAGTAGGTGGGACCCAGCTAGGGGCGTGAGACAGGATAGCGGCCGCCAGGGCAAGGACTGGAGGATGCACGTCCACCGCCGTTATTTCCCTCTGGGGATGGGCTGGGACTTGGAGCCAATTCCGTGGACGTGGCCTGAGCTAGAGCTGAGCGGCCTTTGATTGGCCAGGCTGGGTTCAGGCGTGTGAGGGAGGGATGCGGCAGGGTTGTGGGAAGTGGGTGCGGCTCTCTGGAAATCAGTTCCGTGCTGCGGGAGGAGGGTAGGGTCAGGAATGTGGGTGTAGTAGGCGGATGGGAGAGGGGAGCCGCCGATGGTGGCTCAGAGCAGGGAAAGGCCCCGGACTGGGGGACGCCTGAGGTGACTGACCTTGAAGAGCAGGACGTGGAGCTTCCCGCGCGCCACCAGCAGCCCGTGGTTGGCCTCCAGCCGCTGCACCTGGGCCGCACGGCGCACGGCGCGCTCCTGGGCGGCGTCAGCGTGCGAGCCCACGCGCTCCGCCTTGGCCAGCAGCTGTGTCAGCGTGTTGCTCGTGGTGTCGTGGCTGCGACTCAGCGCGCCCAGGCCGCTCTGGATGCGGCGCACGGAGCCCGCCAGGCCGCCCTGCCTCCGAGCCAGGCCCCCCTGCCGCTCCTGCAGCGCCTCCAGCATGGTGGCCAGCTTCTCTAGCAGGGTCACCACCGTCACGGCGTGCACGGGGCCCCCCGCCGGCGCTCCGGCCACAGGCCCGGGCTCCAGCGCGCTCTCCCCCATGATCCCCGACCGCCCAGCCTGCTCTCCCCGCGGCCGCTGGCTGCGCTCTGGGCTGGGGCCGCCTTTCCCCGGCTCCTCCCCAGCCCCAGCCGTGACTCAGGCAGGCGGAGTTGGCCTCTTCGGGAGGCCGGAGGGAGGGCGGGGGACGGGATGTCGGAGGCGAGGTCCTTTGGAAGTGCCCCCCCTGCTGCTGCCCCGCCCCGAGGACCCGCGGGGAGGCAGGTTGGCCCAGAGCCCGCCCCACCCCACCCCGCAAACTCTCTGACTGAATTTGAGTGCCCCTCCTCTGCTCCAATTCCCTGGTGTGCCTCTTTCTGGAACATACTCTCCCCACTGCAAAGAGCAAGCCATGGAAATTTTTGTGGTATGCATCGAGTGGGCAGAGAAACTATGTGAGCGCGGCAAAGGGATAACCAGTGGGGCCCCTGCAGCCGCCTGCCCTGGGCCTCCCACGCCTCTGAGGATTGTATGTGCGCCCCAGGCTGGGCGCGGTAGACAGAGGCTCTCCGATGTTCCGCTACAGACGTGACTGCCTAAGCCTGAGGCCTCGCTTTCTGGCGGGCAGGCTGCGCAAAGTGGGCCGGCAGGCGGGGCATCCTCTAGTATTTGCCTAATAGTCATCGCCTGGTTTAGCCGCAGGCCTCATTTCTTGCGTCTCTAGTTCTTACTGTTGGATAGCACCACCCTGTTTTCTTTCTTCTTGTTCTCTTCCCTCCCTTTCTTTGGGCTTCATGGGTGAAGCCCAGCAGCATCTAGCTCCTGTACCCCAAGTTTGGAGGGCAGGCAAGACACCTCTTCTTTTGAAACCCTTAAAAGAGTTAGAGTAGGAGCTGCTATGTGTTAGTTTTCATGGAAGTTAGTTGTGGCTCCTGCCTGATTTTTAAATATTTTCTGTGGAAACAGGTGAGAATATCTTCTGTGAGTGAAGATTTGAAACTGCTGCTGTAAAGGGGGAGAGAGTGAGCATGGAGACTCCAGTAAATGATGTGGATCATGAATTTGTAATGTCATCGATTTGGAAAATCCCGTGTCTTGTCTTGAGCAATACTTGGTAAACTGATTGTAGGGTCAGAAGTCCAAGCAATCCATTGATCCTGATGATCGCTCTCCTTCTTCCTCTCCTCACCCAATCTTTAAGGGCCACTCTATAACACCTGTGGAAGGAACTCAATCACTCAGGGGGTAGTTACATGGGCTTGAAAGGACCCAAGTTCTGATGTACACAGAAGTACAGCAGAGGACAGGTAACCATTGCCAGAAATCTGGTGATGCTAAGTTGATGACTGACTTCTACAAATACAAGGTCATGGAGCCTGACCCCTCTACCTAACACAAAAGAAAATGGACTCCCTTGGGATCCTGATGGGAATCTCCATCTCTTCCAGTGGATCTATATTTGCTCTGAGAGACCCATCAGAATGTGCCAGTTAAAATGCTTTCAAACTGAGAGAAGAGAAAACCCAATGCAAACAGTTCTTAGAAATGGGAAATCCCATACAAACAATTGGAAAAGACCCTTGTAGAGTGATGATTTAGTGTGGGTCAGTCACAGCTCCAAATCTGGTTCTCTACAGTTCTCTCCACTGCACCACCCACAGGTGTCAGCTTCATTCCCAGGCTGGGAGCAAAGTGGCTAAAGCAGTTCCAGGCCTTACATCTCTGCACAAGATCAAGAGAAAAGAGGGGACCATCTTAAAATTTAGGACATTTGCTTCCCAGAAGCCCCCCAGAATTTTTCCACTTGCCTTCCACTGGGTTACATGGCATTCCAGAACCTAATTCTATGGCTAGGAAAATGTCATGCATTGGTGGGCTTCAGCCTGAGTTCCTTAACCTATCACTGACAAGAAAGCTGATAATTACCTTTGACAAATTGAGCAGAGTAGGTTCAGCTTCCCCAGGAGCATATGGGTGGTATGGGAGGAAAAGTGGATGTCTGTACAAAAAAAACCTGAGCACCGCTAGGAATAGATAGTCAATCAAAATATCTAAAACAAAAAGCCTATAAAAGAATCACCAGTCTTAAGGAATGATGCTAAGAGAGTCCAATGCATTTGGAAGCAAGAACTATGTGGATAGATATTTTTTAGAGACCTGCTAAATCCCTCTCTGGATGTGTAGGACAAGGAGGACCTTAAAACTTAGCAATAAAGCCACTGATGGTTCTACTGGTCTCCCCAAAACCTCAAGCATAAAAGCCATAGGAACTGGCTGAGATTGGAAAATAGAAGCCCATGAGGTGGATTAAAATAACTTGGGGCAATGCAGAAGTATGCCCTGAGTCAAGAAAGTCCAAATTGACAGACATTATAGTAGTGTGACCTTGATCGTGGATTATCCAAGACAAAGCCATGTTGCAGTTTCCAATAAGGATGAGACAAGGAGAAAGTGAATAAGGAGGCAGAATGATACCCTCTGAGGCAGTGTAACTGTTACTGCACAAAAATGGGGTTCTCCTACCCAATGTGCATAAACAGCATCAGCTTTTGGGAAAAGAATTCAGCTTTATTCTGGGAGGTCGATCTTCAGGGAGACAGGGGACATGTGCCCTCAGATTTTTCTCCCCAATTCAAGAGTTGGGACAAAATTTAAGAGGTTAGGGAGAATAGGCTGGCACATGGAAATGCTGGCAGGACAGGTTTTGGTTGATGGGCTTCAAGCATTTATGGTAAGGTTCTGAACATTTATTATGAGGTTCTAAACTTTTATGCTAAGATGAGGAAGGAATTTTAACACTGGATCTTCCTGAATGACCTACCCCTCATTTCTGATAAGAGTCGGACTTTTCAGTGTCAGTCATGTCCCGGTCTTTTGGTTCTGTGGGGAGGAGAATCTTTGGTTCTGCAGTCATTTTTTGGTCAAGATTTCTTCTTCTGCACATGCTCTGGCTATATAACTTTGCAAATTTTCTGAAAGACGGTTTCTTAATCACTCTGTTGATAAGGAATGACGTCTGTTTGAACTGGCTCTAAATGGGCCTGTGGTTACATAACCTGATCTTAATTTAAAGATTTCTGTTCTCTATATCAGGGGTGTGGCTGTACCCACTCCCTCAAACTCCTTGGTGTGAGGATAAAAAGTGGAAATCCACTGGTGTGGGTTTATTGTGTCCCAAAAAAAGATATTTTCGAGTCCTAATCTTGATACCCGTGAATATGTTCTTATTTGGGAATAGGGTCTTTTCAGGTGTAATCAAGTTAAGATGAGATCATACTACAGCTAAGCCTGAGCCCTTAATTCAACATGACTGGTGTCCTTATAAGAAGAGGACAAGAGACACAGGCAACACCATGTAACATTGGAGGCAGAGATTGGAGTGATGCTCCCAGAAGCCAAGGAATGCCTGAAGCAACCAGAACAAAAATAGGCAAGGAAAAATTCTCCTGTAGAAGCTTTGGAGGGAGCATGGCCCTACCAACACCTTGATTTCAGACTTCTAGCCTCCAGAACTATGAGAGAATAAATTTCTGCTGTTTTAAGCCACTGTTTGTGGTCATTGAGTTTGATAACCCTGGGAAACTTATATATCCATTGACTAATCACCATCAGTATCACAGGATCATCTTCCCTAGGATGGCCCCCTACTAAATGGCCTCCCCAGTTAATTCTCTGGAAGTGTGAAATTCTCTGTAGGCAAAGTTAATAGAACCTGAAGACTCTTTGTAGAATGTAGACAATTAAATTAACAGTTGCCCAAATATAATGGATCTTGCAAAAATTAGTGAAATGCTGTGGTAGTTGAGCTAACAAACACTTTAAAAAACTAAAACAAAGGTATTGCCCACCCTGCTTGTCAAGGGTTCTTTTCATACACTGGCCCATACCCTTCCCAGAATATAGCATACTATGAGGCAGGGTTGAAGGATTGGCTTTCTTTTAAAAAAAAAAAAAAAAATCCACTTTCATCAGGCCTGGACCTGCCTGGAATATATCTGTCTCACAAAGATCTGCTCCAGGGGGCCCTCTGTGTCTGCCGGTAATCAAGAACAGTTGGGTGCTCCCTTTACTTGGAGTAGGAGGAAGGTACAAGAAACCTCTGAAAGAGACAGATCAGGTTACAGTGCCCTAGGCAGTATCATTCTGCATTCCTGTTTTCTTTCTTCTTTTCTCAATGGTCAGGTGCCCCACTGTATGATGTTGCAAAGATTCTCTGAAACAAAAGTGGCAGAAGCACTGCAGTTCTCAACATCATACGCGGTGGGGTGACGGGGCTGAGTATGTGCCATCATGTCTGGGGACCAGCAGTGAGGGATCCAGCAGACAAGGATTAACTGGAGCAGTCAGACGTAAACCTGTGACAGGGAGTGAAACACGTGCACTACCTCCCATGGCAACAAAGAACAGCAGCTCATGGGGGTGTTTGGGTTTTAGAGTCAGCATATGCTCCACCTTGAAATTCTTATACGCTCGTATCGTGGGTTATCCAAAAGGCCACATACTTTGCATAGGATTCAGAGGAGCCTCAGGGACTGACCCTAGCCAAGTTACGAGCCACAGTCTGGTCAGCTCTACCCCTTGGGCCCTATAAATCAGAAAGAAGGATGAAACTTGAGGTTTTGTGATTTCTGCCTCTCCCACAAGGACGATTTGGGGAGAGGCGGAGGGACGGCAGATCCTAGAAGCAAAAATATAGCAGAAGTATTTAGGGTCTTGGATTAAGACAATACTTCCAGCAGCTGAGAATTATACTGCTTTTGAAAGACAATTGCTGGCTTACTACTAGATGCTGGTGGAGAGATTCACCAGGGGTTGCTGGGTTGTTTTATAAATTGGAATCCTTTGTCTCACATAGCAATACAGCCTAACAGTCTTTGATTATTAAGTGGAAAAAAAATTTCAGCTGCCCAGACAAACTGGGGCATCCTACAGGAGCTTAACCTTTGAATCAAAAGTAACCAACAATGTGCGGCACAGGCAGAACCACGCATTTAATAAGGAATGAGCCTCAGTGGACAGGCACCACCTTCCACCCTTTGTCACAGACATCCTGTCTACGGAAGGAGTAAGGCCGTCCCACACAATGAGGGAGCTCTGTGCCACTGGCAATTAAAAGAGCTATAAGTTTGGGGCAACAGGAAGTGAGAATCTG